TTACACCCTGTGTTTCACAATTTTGGCCCTCTTTATGGTGCTGCTCCAACCCCCCCAATTTCCCCCGGCGAGCGGGGGCTGTGGGGGGATTGCGGGGAGTTGAAGTCCACTCATCTTAAAGTGGCCAAGTTTGGACAACACTGGGTTACACTATATAGCCATTTGGATGGTTCCCCCCTCTCTGCCCCAGCAGTCACACTATAGTCTTTTACGTGAACCATTTGCTCTCTGTCTCCACCCTCCCACCCCCATGGTATGAAAGAAGAAAATGGCTCTATTTTCTCCCTATTATGGATGGGGCTGGCTGTGTCTGAGGCTGAAGATGGTGTATTTTAGATCGCCCAGCAAGGTTCATCTCGGTAATGTACATGAAACTACTGTGAACACTATAAAATACTAAATAGTGCCTTCTTCAATATTGTAGTTAGTTAAAAGAACATATGTTTTAAATGCTTTTAGTGATGTTTAAGTGTTGTAGTCTACTAAGAAAACACCAGCTATTGAGTGGATTAGAAATACAATATTTATTAATAATAAATATATTAAAATGTATTACAGTGCAATTGTTGCATACTCACACACACACACAAACATGAGAGTCAGCATGGTAGGAATGGGGAGACCCAGGTTCTAGTCATGAAAAACAGACACAAAAGCTGGTTGCATGGCTCTGGGCTAGTTGAGTCCTTGGGGTTCTCTGAGCTTGGTTGTTTTCTTGTAAATGTTTCATTACCCGGCTAGGTAACATCTTCAGTGTTAGCAGTGAAGTAACAGTGGTAACATCTGAGCTAGTCACTCCCTCTTAGCCCTAGACTTAAAAGTTGAAAATCTGCCAACCCACACTGGACCATAACCTTGAATGAAGAGGCCTTGATCCTGCAATGGATTGATTCAGCTTGATAATAATAATAACAGTACATACATGCACATAAATAACACATGCACATAGAGAGAGAAGTAAATTCTATTAAGTTAGTAGGTCTTATTCCCAGTTAAGTGTATATAGAATTGCAGCAAAAATGCCCCCAAATGATCTGACAGATGTACATTTTTGAATAGTGAAACTCAATCATTCTGACAACCTTCTTCCATCTTACTTCCTTTACTTGCAGGATTTTTCTCTTCAGACCAACCACAGTCTTCTCTTTCCTCACCTATAGATCTAAAGAAATAAATATCAACTACAGCCTCTCTTTTGTTCACTTGTATCCCCTTGTAGCCCGACCCTGCAGGCCGAGATATTTCAATTCTTCCCATTTTGGAGCATTGTGAAAACACTCACATGACTATCTGGCTTGGCATCGTTTATGCCTACAAAGGCCTACTCATGGTAAGTTTAATGGTAAGTGCAGCTCAGAGCCTAGGGTGGTGTAACTTTTAGTGTGTTAGCTCAGGATTCAGGAAACCTTAATTCACAGTTCTGTTTAGCCATGAAACTGGGGTCACTTTAGGTCAGTCACTGTTGCTCTGCCTAGCCTAGCCTACCTTACAGGGTGGTTTTTGGATGAAAAGGATGATAGGGAAAAACTGTGTACCTTCCTCTGAGAACCTTGAAGGAATGATAGGAGAGAAATGTATGAAATTAAAACATATACCCTGCCTCTCTTGTTTTTGTTATATTTTTCTAAACTAAACATCTATATTAGAGAGATTTATTTCATTCAAATGTATTTATTTATTATAGTTATAAACAAATAAAATAGATTTATTATTGAAATATCATTAAAATATAGACATGCATATGAACTTATCATTAAAACAGAAAGTACTTCTCTTGTGATAAGAGTGAGACTAATTTCACAGAGCCTCCCTCCCTCCCAAGCCAGATAGCGGTTCCAACTTTTCCTTCTAACATATTTCTCTTCTGTCTACCGGGGGGAAGTTTTTAGGGAAAGTTGGGAGGGTAGAATGTGTTGTCTGAAGCCATTGTAATATTTAGCGGCTAAGAGAGGGGAGTCGCATATCAAAAGTTTGGCTAGGAACTGAGTGAGCCCTTTGTCATCAAGTATTCTCATTTTCCAATGCAACCATAGGTTTCTGCCCCTTTAAACATGACTAGTAAAAATAAACAATAGTGATTAACTTGTGGCTGACTGTTCAAAGTAGCTTCAGCTTACTGTGCGCCTGTATAAAGTCATTGTGGAATACACTACCTCATAAAAAATTTCAGTAATTTTAGCCTAACACAGTCTGTTGGAAGTGCCTTTAATGGCTCTTTTAGCAATAAGCCTTGTTTATAGCTTACTGTTTCAGGTACCAAAATATAAATAATATGTTCATCTCATGTGCTGTTTGTTAGATTTCTATCCTGCTTTTCCTTCAGGAGCGGTACACATAATACTCCCTCCTCCATTTTTTTCCTTACCACACAGGGTTGTTGAGCTCGAATAGAGCAACTGGGGCAAAGTTACTCAGTGAGCTTTATGGCTGAGGGTAGGGTTGAACCTGGGACTCCCAATTCCTAGTCCAGTACCTTAACTACTCTTTCTAGCTAATGATGGACAGAGATGGGGGAAATTCAGTTATTGGAGCTGCTTTATGTTTCTTGATTAGGCTCTACTTAGTGCCCTCAGGTAAGGGATGTAGTTATAGGAGCATGTAGGTAGACACCATAATGACAGTAACTCCCCCCCCACTCCCAAAATTAAATACCATGAAGCATGATCAAGTCAGTATTAAACTCTTTCAAATCCTATTCATTTTAAAAGAAGAGTTAGGTATGGAATCCATCAGTGGAAATTAAATATACTTGTTCCAATAGAAGAGAATATTTGTAGCTCAGGGTTGAACTGTGGAGTCCTTGGTGCTCTCTGAGCTTGGTTGTTTGCTTGTAGACATTTCATTTCCTGACTAGGTAACATCTTCAGTGCTAGTGAATGTGGAGTCACTAGCACTGATGATGTTACCTATTGGGGAAATGAAATGTCTACAAGCAAACAACC